TGCTCAATTTTATTTAAAATTTAATAAGGGAATTTATCTTACAAAATATTTATTTGGATATTTCAAAAAAGGTGACTTTTTATCAAATAAAAAGCACATTTATAAAGAAGAATCTCGCAACACATGTTTTCCTGCTAATAAGATTCTTTAGAGTATTTTTAATCTTTACTACTTTTCAATCAAAAACCTAAAAAATTGGAGTTAATTTCATTTTGTAATATATTCCCTGCTTTACATTGTATCTAAAAGATGGCACTTAAAATTAAATTGTCTTCCTTTAAATGAATATCATTTTTATACTCCAACTTCATTAATATCCTTTTATCACAGGGTACTGCCGCCCCAATTTTTTATCAAATCTAAGCTTCATGGTTATAATAATTTACTCTTCTTAATAATATTTATCTGACATTTTCATAATTAATTTTTCATAAATGCAGTGTTGGGGAATGTTTATAAAATTCCTAGATTGAGCAAAATTAGGATAAGGATATTTCTAAATTATTAAGTAGTGCAGTATTTGGTGGTATTGATATAATTTATTTTTACTAGCCTGACTTATTTTTTCTTTTACCATAAATTAAATAAACCTACAGTTTCTAAAGAAATAATTTTCTAAATTCAACATCAATAATAACTTTTCGATCAATCCATAAAATTTTTCCTTAAATGTATAAGTTTTTATCATTTTCTTTTAATGCATACCATGTTTATTATTACAAAAAAATTTCCAAAAATTTACCTAGAGTCTAATTTATCTGCGATCTGATTTTAAACTTTGAGCAGCCAATATGTTAAAATTCGATATTTATGATATTTTAAGTTAGAGCTTCATTATTGTTATTTTAACAATATTCCTTAAATTTCCAATAGAATAATACTTTCAAACTTAGAGTAATACAGACTAAGAGCTATTAAAATAAAAAATCAAGTAAAATACCTTCTTGCTAATAAACTTTTTTAGGAAGAAATTGTTAATTAAAGACACTAGCCGAGATAAATGGAATCATATATAGATGGAATAAAAATGGTTTCCTTATTTATAGGCATACCTAAATCAGTTTCATTAAGATTAGAAAAAATTAATTTTCTAGTAATTAAGCTAATACTCTTATATGTAAAAAATAAAAATAGTTAATATGAGGATAATAATGTAAACTTCTTTATTATTTAGAATTTTGCTTATTGCGCTATAGATAAAATTTAATTCTAAGCACACTTAGTTAATTAGCAGCTCTTAGATTATTTATATCAATTTATCAATACAAATATTTTAATTCCAACATATCAATTAATGATGACAAATAGTCACACATTATTAAATGTTTGCCATCAGTACTCATAATTGTGGAATAAAAAGATGAAGTTGCAATAAAATCCTTATAATTTAGTTCTTATTATTTCAAGAGATTCATAAATATACTTTTGAAGTTCTCTTTTCAAAATTTTTGTATTTATAAATTATTGATAATCAAATTATATACAAATTTATGAAATATTTGAAGAAATTTAATTTAAACTATCTCCTTGGATATCATATAGCGAAATTTGTAGGGTGTTGAAAGAATACTGGTAAAATTTAAAAACAGCATATAATGTTACTTTAAAATGAAATAACAATAATAAGTCATCTCGTTTCTTTCTGGAAAATAATAATCTTTACTCTAAGAATATATGAATCAAATTTAACAGAAAAGCAATTCAATCTGTAAAATAAAATCTAAACAATGAAATTATATTATAGATATATTTTTATTTAATTTTGTTTCATTCTTTCATATCTGAATTGTTTGCTTCAAAGAATTTTACCCTTAATTGCTGTAATTACTCTGCGTGTTAGTTTTTTCTTAAGTTTATATTTTTAATTA